ACATTTCTCTTCCTCCTTCACCATCTTTCTGAGTAATTGAAATTCTCGGGCGATGACGTTGCAATTCTAAAATGGTAGCAGCATTATATGAGACAGGAGTTTAACTTTTCTGTTGTTCAGCACCTAGAGAGTGATTATTAGGAGCAAGCCTTCAATACCCTTACTGAGATAATCAAACATGGCCAGAAACAGGGGCCTAGCACCACCTTCTAGAAATCATGGTGATATTGTTGAACCCATCGAAGATGATGATGAGGATGATGAAAGCGACATCAGATCATTGAATTTTCTGATTATTTTACTATGGTTGCTTACAGGTTATGGTTTCTCTCTGTTATTCAATTTATGCTAATGTATATTTGGACATGTGTTGATGTGATGCAGGTTAAGTTGTGATGGATTTTATTTTTTTGTGAATTGAGATCTGAACTGTTATTTTCTTACCGTGTGATGTTTTATTATGTGATTAATTTACATCTTTATGGTTGTTATGTGTTGTGATGTCCATTACTAGGTGTGTTTTACATTTTTGTTGTGCTTATATATATACCATATATATATATATATATATATATACATATATATATATATATATATACATATATATATATATATATATATATTTATGCTTTCATATGTATTTTATGTTCTGTTATTACATATCTTCTTCTACCTGTTTAGTTCATTTCTCGGTCATGTTACTTGCATGTGTAGTGTAGAATAAATTTGGAGAAGGATTTTTGTGTAAAATTATGCCCTAAAGTGAAATAGATATGTGAATTTTATAATTTCATTAAAAATGATATATTTAACTATGGTTCAAAGTAGATTAATAGAAGATTAAGAAAATCAGTAGGGTAACACCAATCTTCAGTAAGTTTAAAAACTATTAATGATTCCCTAATAATTAACCTTTAACTTTTATTAATTACTCTTTTATATAAAAATTCCTAAACATTTAGACTAAGATCAACTAATTATAAATTAAAATATTAAAAATAGAAAATGTAATGACTAATCAATTCAAATAAGTTAATTTTTTTGTTAAAATCTCCTAAATTCCAATATTTTGAATCAAGTTAATAGAAAATTGGGACTTTGGCATAAGAAATAGTTGATATTCAAAAATCATTAAAGAAAAGTGTAACCAAACATAGTAACCCTATAGAAAATAAATAAATAAATAAATAAACAAAATCAAAATAAAAGGAAACTTTGAGAAAGTTATAGTGAAAATGAAAAGTATTTATGAGCTTTGGAGGAGAAACTTGAGATTAAGCTAGAAATAACAATGGGTACCAACCATCTTTCTTAAAGTCGGATAATCAAAAACCTCCTTGTAAATTCAGAATACGGTATTCAATGAGAAAATAACTCAATTAATGTTATTTGATTGATTAGTCAAACTGAATTATATATATTTGAGAGAATTTTATTTAAGTCAAACTTGTATAAGTGATTTAGGAAAAATTATATAGAATGTAAATTAATACAAGTCAAGTTATAAATTAAGAGTATTTAAAAAAAAATCAATCTTAAGAAGAGGTTTATAAACCCTGAATAATCAATTTACCTCAAAACTAAAGAACCTTGAAATCTTAAGTTTCAATCTACCATTAATTTTCAAAAATTCTAACTTCAGATATTTAACTACTCAAGGGCAACTAATGTTTAAGTTTTCGGAAATTTGATATGTATGAAATATGTGATGTTATCTCCAATACTTTTTTAGTTATTTATATTATTTCTATTTTTTTCTTGGGTGTTTTCAAATGTGCTTTGCAAGTTACATGTTGCATGTTAAAAATGGGAACTTTTAGAGAAAAAAAATGTTTGTAAGTCTCAGGCTACCCGATGCCCAAAGTGGAAAAACCAACATTGCCTACCCTTCCTTCGACCTAGGGAAACCGAGAGCACAGAAACCTGATGCTCAACCTAAGCAAGGCAGCACTTGATCCTTAAACAAGTGCAGAACCGAAAGGCCGAAGACCCACTGGGTGATTTTGACGATTCATTCATGTCATTTCGCATGGGATGGCTTAAATTTGTTATATCAAAAAAGTATGAAGGGAGGGGGGGGTAAACTTAGGGTCCGTTTGGGGCATCTTGTGTGTTTCAGGATAAGCAGTTTCGAATAAGCTGTATGCATTTAGTGGGTGATGCCCGCGGGAGTCGACCCGCTGCATGCATTTAGTGTAAAAACTCAAACGCAGTTTCGAATAAGCTGGCAAAACGCGCGAACCAAACGGTACGACGGCATTTTGAAAACGCTGCCCGCACTTATAAGCTGCCCCAAACGGACCCTTAATTTTCTTGTCTAAGTAGAGAACTCTAACCATAGTATGAGTCAACAACAACAACAACAAGCCTTATTCCCACTAAGTGGGGTTGGCTAACTAAGTGGGGTTGGCTACTAAGTGGGGTTGGCTACTTGAATCCTTTTTCTCCATTGTGTCATATTTTCATTTAATTCTAACATATTAAGATCATTTTTATACAATATGCCTAAGTCTTTTAGGTTACCTCTACCCTTCTTAACATCAGTCGAAATTAAAACATCTACTCTCCTAACCGAATCATCAGATGCTTGAAATTTAATTTGACCAAACCATCTGATACAACACTAATCTTGTCTGCCACTGGAGCTACAACAACCCTATCACGGATATATTCATTTCACATTTTGTCTCTAAGTATCAAACCACTCATCAACCAAAGCATTCTCATCTCAGCAGCACTTAACTTTATTTTATTCTTTACTTTTAAATGCCAACATTTTGCACCATTGAGCATTGCAGGTCTCACCACCATCTTATAAAAATTTCCTTTCAGTTTTAAGTCTAAGCGGTACTTTATACTTTTCTACCACACAATAGGCCTGAAGCATTCCTCCACTTCAACCAACCAACTTGAATTCTACAAATAACAATCCCATCTACATATCAATCACTTTGAACCATAGTATGTGTGAAGAGAAATTTAAGTGTGAGATTGTTAGAATAAGGAAGATTTGTTCTAATCAAATAAAAAGGATCTACGAATAATGTGCATCACTTGGGAACAAGTGTTGCAACATTTTTGGGTTTTATCTTTCTTACTTTTTATATTATTCATTTTATTTTGTTAATGCAAGTGATGCTTGCGTTTAAAATCATGTGTGCTACGTAATTTTTCCTCCCTTTGTTGGTTTTCTTGAAAATCTTGAGGAATTAATCTTTTGATTTTTCTAACTTTTAATTCATGAAGTTGTTGTTATAACATTTTGATCTTAATTTATATTCTAACGGGTCATTTGAATAGTTAAACTTAGTTATAATCTAGGTCCTATGGCCGTTGATTAGAAACTCAATTATGTTCAAACACAAGAGTTCAATGGAATACAAATATTGTTAGTAGATTCTTGCAAAGTAAGTGAGGACTGTGGATGCTGTGACTTCTTCTAGGGTTAGGACCACCTAAATATAATATGGCATTCTAATGCTTGTTATATCATAAAAAATAATAGGAAATAATAGGACCCGTTTGATAACTACAGTAGAGAAAAATCAATTGAAAGAATTTGGATTTCATAGAACCAATTCAAAAGAGACTCACAGTTGTTAGAAAACTCTACAGTAAACTTAAAATTTAATTTTGCAATTAGGATTAAACACTTTAAAATTCCGAAAATTTTCACTTTTCAAGCCAGACCAAAGAGTACCACACAAGAACTTTCACCTTCTTTGAACATTAATAAATTATTTACGGGATCGATACATGAACTAAAAAAATTAGTATTCTACTTGATCAACATGTATACTTGTGTGATTGACATGTACTTCACAGTCATAAACCCAAACGACATAAGACAAACAACATAACCGAAAGATTAGCAACCCCACTATTGAAACAACAAACACAAAAATAAAATCCAAATAACACCAAAACCAAATAACAAGAAACCGAAATAGCAATAAGCGAGCAAACCCTTGCACCAATTTGTAATTGCAAAGCCAAAGAACTGAAAAATCCAGAGGATAAGTTCTCAGCACAAGCCAACTCACTCATAAAAATCCTAGCTTCGAATTCACATATTAGAAGTGGTGAAGGAGAGGAAAGCACTTAGCCCAAGCTTCAACATCTTAATAACAACAAAAAAAAGAAAGATAAGTATATGAGAAGTTTAGCTTTCGATTTCCTTGGAGGAAACAAAAAAAATCGATGAACAAAAGCAATCAAAGAAGCGAGAGGGAGAAACAGAAAGGTAATGCAGGGACAATACGTCGAAACACGAGGAGAATGACGGCCCCGCAGGCAAAAGATGTGGCGTAGAAGCAGTCATATCCGCAATGCGTATTAGTGAACACCACCAAAAATAGCAAAAGCCCGTGGCACTGAAACATACCACTTCATAGATGACACCCCAAACAGACTCTTAGTCCAAGATTTTTCTAATTTGACCCTCAACTTTACATGATTTATCCAAAATGGTCCCTCGGGCAAAAATTCTACTATAAAATTGATATTATTTTAATCTGTTAATTATACAATGTTAATCACAATTTAGTCTTTGACAAATCACTTTGGATCAATTGCATAAGAATATGTTTTATGTACATATATAATCTTAATTTATTCAACTAAAAAAGCTTCAAAGTTTTTAAAAGCAATTGAACTCCAACATAATGTTGATCGTATCCTCATATCTATGTTATTTTCGTGCATCTTAAGAGTAAACTAATGTGCATTTATAATTTGAACTCAACAATAATATCTAATAAATTACAAATTTTGGAAGAATTAATTATAGCATTTAACTTGAATAAATAAATCATATAAAAGCTGGTGTGTTCCATAATGTAACTTTAATGAACAAATGTATGTATTGTGAAGTTCTGTAAGGATCTGCACAAAATGCATGAACTGAAATCCAGAAAAGATTACCTAAACAAGAGCTAAAAAATGACAACAATATAAATTAATCAATGACATAAAAGAAATTTGAATTTCAACATTATTACCTGCATTACAAGCATTTTGATATCTTAAATCAAAGGGCAATTTTCCCCCAACTTTACTCCCCATGATAAGATCTTTATCAACGGGATCAAACGAGCCTTTATCAAGTGATAAAAACACTGCAATTTGGTGCAGAGACTTTCCATAAGAAGTGTATATGGAGTGATAGCTACAAGAGAAAATATTTCAATTAAATGTTGAAATGTATTCATAAATTATTTAAAACCGAATTCTAAAAACTCACGGCTTTCTTCTCTTTTCATGCCCAGCATGAGCTTCAAATTTAGAAGCACTAAGCTGCAAATAAGGAAGTATTAGGCCTATTGATATTGACATCTTCTCCTGTAGATGAAATGAGATGAGAAAATCACCATAGAATTACAGCAGCTGCAGAGTATATTTTTTCCAAACTTATAACCTTCCAGAATTTCCTGCATGAAAGAGAGAATTTGTTGAAAGCCACAGAGTATGCCACTTGGAGCATGTTGACTAACTCCATACCTTTCCATGTGAATAATAAGACAATTTGGCTCCATCATTAAGCAATTCGAAAAGTTGCTGATGAAAATCCTGCTCCCTGATTTGTTAGAAAAGTAATCTAGATTGTGAAACAAAGCTATCAATCATTAGAATATGAGAAAAAAAAAAAAAAAAAGATGCCAGAAAAATCTAGGAGTAACATTTAAGGATAAACATGATAAACAACATGAAATGAATGAACCCCATCAAAAATACCTGTGCTTCATAGTCTTCCCGGCTCGCTTTGAGAAGCTAACCTTAGCATCATTTCCTAGAGGTAAGCTTAAGTTGTTCTCTGAAGCTGACAGCATTAACCTATAATTACAGACAAAAAAAACTTGTAAATTCAAAGATTTGAAATGTGAATGAAATTATACATATTAAAAGAATTGCAAAAATGTCAAATTTTACATAAGAAAAAAAGCATAAGACCAAAATGGAGGTAAAGAAATGGGAGCTACGTCAAAAAATTGAGGTTAGAAAGAATTTTATAAGGAAATCAATACCTGGCAATCCACCTTCCGGCTCAAACTTGGAATGTTTCAGTTCTACCAATGAGAAATTAAAGGTTTCAATTCTGAAATATAACAGACAAATTTTGACAACGAATCTATTATAATAGTGCTCTTCGATCCTTTGCAAAAATTATGCAAGGAGATGCTCACCAGGGTACATCACCTAACAATTTCCTATTTTTTAATAGCTGTTATTATGCATACCTAAGCATAAGTAGCCATTTACTTTTCATGAAAACCTGCTCTTATTTACTTTGATAGTGAGATTTCAGAACAATTCTTTTTTCCCCCCCTTTATTATAGGAAAACTTTCTCAGGGCCACCCCAGTTTGAGAATATACATAAATCGATGTCTGACTTTTATTCAAGTGATGGCCTTTCGGTTGGGCTTCTTGATCATCAACATTCTTATGAAATTATCTTTTGAGACGAATTACTATAGAACTTTCTCAAATCGACATTCTTGAGTGCCTAAAGACTGATCTTTAAGAAAATGGCTAGTAAAGAGGTAAGGACAAGCAACTTCATGTACGACAATGGCCAAACATGAGCGACCAAAAGAAGTGTGATCCTTGCGGCAAGGGCTTGGGATTAAAAGGCTAAAAGATTTCTTCTTCCTCCTCTACGGCTTGAATTATGGTAAGCTAAAACTTAATTTAAATTTCATTCGCTTTTCTCTTTTATGAAAACAATTGAATTTGAAACCCTAGAACTAGTTTATGTTCAAAGACAAATTGTTGGTAAAAAAAATTATAATGTTAAAAAGAGTAACCAAAGCATGAAATTTCCATTCGATTAAATCTAACAATTTTGGAAAATATTAAAGTTAATTTTATTTACAGATTTATGTATCTATATTATTAAGTTAAAATTAGAAAAATTAAAAGTATGTTTTAAAGTAGTAAACTAAGGGAAAAACTAGTAAAAAGGCTATGTTATCTGGAATCAAAATGTGTCAGCCATTAAATTAGAAAGTATAGAATTGAATGATGATTAACATATGTGAATAAATAAATATATATTAATTGAGTGGAACTGCAAATACAACAACAACAACAACAACAAAGCCTTAATCCCACTACATAGGGTCGGCTACATGAATCCTTTTTCTCAATTGCGTCCTATTTAGTGTCATATTTTCATTTAGTTCTAGTAAATTAAGATCATTTTTAATACAAAAAGCCTAAATCTTCCTAGGTCTACCTCTGCCTTTCTTAACACAAGTCGAATCTAAAACATTTACTCTCCTAATCAGATTATCAGATGGTCAACGTTTAATGTGACCAAACCATCTAAGACGACTTTCTCTAATTCTGTCCGTCACAGGAGCTACACCAACCTTATCACGGATATATTCATTTCGCAAATTGTCTCTAAGTGTAAAGCCACTCATCCACCTAATCATTCTCATCTCGGCAAAACTTAACTTATTATTATGCTTCTCTTTTAAAGGCCAACATTCAACGCCATAGAGCATTGCAGGTCTCACCGAAAATTTTCCTTTCAGTATAAGCGATACTTTTCTATCACACAAAAGGCCCGAAGCACTCCTCCACTTCAGCCAAGCAACTTGAATTCTACTATTAACATCCCCATCTATATCACCATCGCTTTCAACAACGGACCCAAGATATCTAAATCAATCACACCTTTTAATAATTTAATCACCCAAAGTCACAATTCTGTCACTAGAGCTATTACCACTAAAATTACGTTCCATGTATTCAGTTTTAGTTCTACTTAAATGAAGGCCTTTAGACTCCAATGTAGACCTCCATAATTCAAGTTTCTCTTGGGCTTTTTCTCTCGTTTTATCCAAGAGAAAGATATCATCAGCAAAAAACATACACCAAGGTACATCCTCCTATAGATGTCCAGTAAGATCATCCTAACTAAAGCAAAAAAAAATGGGCTTAAAGTCGATCACTGGTGTAATCCAACAGAAATAGGAAAATATTTGGTCAATCCTCCTTCAGTTTGAACACAAGTAACAACTCTAGTATAACAATCCTCCTTCAGTTTGAACACAAGTAACAGCTCTAGTATACATATCTTTAATGACTTGAATATAAGTCATATCAACACATTTCTTCTCGAGAACTCTCCAAAGGATATCTCTTGGAACCTTATCGTAAGCTTTTTCTAAATCAATAAAAATCAAATGTAGATTCTCCTTATTATCTCTGAACTTCTCCATCAAACCTCTCAATAAATGTATAGCTTCCATAGTAGACCTGCCAGGCATAAATCCAAATTGATTATGAGAAATTTTCGTGATGCATCTTAACCTATGTTCAATTACCCTCTCCCATAACTTTAAAGTATGACACATCAACTTAATTCCTCTATAATTTGTACACTCTTGTGCATCCCCTTTATTCTTAAAAATGGGGACCAAAATACTCTTCCTCCAATCCTCAGGCATCTTTGATTATGAGTGGAACTGCAAATGATAGAAATAAAAAACCAGGTTACAATAAAGAGAATTTGAGTATCACGTTAAGCATGAGTTGATTGAAATTGAAAAGTTAAATTTTTAATAATAATGATATGTTAAATGATGAATTAAAAATTTACAAACACTATGGACATGAACTTGAATAATAGTAGGAATCAATTAAATGCTAATCATAAAGTTGAATTAAAGAAAAGAAAAAATTAAACAATAAGACAATTTGTGTGTGTTGAATGCATGTATTCATGTATGAATGCATGTATTCATGTATGAATGCATGTATATCATTTAAATGAAATAGTTAACATTATCATAGCATATAATTTTGTGTTATTATATTTGTATAACGATAGAAATGGGTAACTATAATTCTATGTTAAACAATAAATTTGACTTCTTAAGTAAAATATTAATAAAACAAAAAGGGCATATCAATATAATTAAAAAAGAGTAAAATTTAAAGAAGATTTTTTATAAATTAATTAACATAAATATCTTATGTTCAAATATTTATGCGCATAATAATTAAGCTAATGGAAGCCACATTAATGGACTAATTTACAAGACATCTTCTGCGATTGAGGTGGGTAATTACACTTTTAAATTAATGTAATAACTTCTTTGCATTTAATTGACAGGGGTCATATTCCTTGTTCATATATTTACATGACCTGATATATTGTTATCAAACGCTAACTACAAAAAATTTATGTGAATTTCTGTTTTAAAAGAAAATGATTCTTCATATTAAAATAAATGAAGTATATGACTCCACTCTATGCTAACATTACTTATTGTAATACACAATATTTCCTGATAAAAATATAATGTATGCTAAGAAAATGCAAATAAAATAATTGTACATAAGAATGTTTTCATGTGCACATTGACAGATAAAATTTAACCACATATGATACCAGCTTCCCTAATATCTCTGCAAAAGTTTAAGAGGAAGAAATTGTGGGCCAAGGCGTTTTGACTTTAGCAAAGTAAGGCATAAGCCTTAAGATGTATCAAAGTGTATACCTTAAATCAATTAAAAAACACAAAAAATTAAAAATAATTTATATGATATAAATTATTGATCTATTAATTTAATTAATATCATAAAGACATAAAGCATAAATCTCAATATAAATGTTAATATAAAAAATAATAATAATAATAAAACGAGATTCAAGGTAAGCATTAACTTAAAATTTCAGTACATGTTAAGAATCAAGAACCAATCCAGCCTCATTCTCATTAGCATCAATTTTTGAATAATAATTATATGTAATAATGTCATCATCATATAAACTATCTCAAAGGGATCTTCCAAATCTTCTTCAATCACAATATATTTCCTCTGACTCCCTGTATCAATTAAATTAGATCTAACATAAATTAAAATAAATTAGTAAATTAAAAAAAATCCAATAATCATACTTAAATTATCTTTAAATAATTTGGAAGCATTGTATCAAATATATTAGAGATAAATATGATATAATATAATAAATACTAAAAATACAATATAATATAATATAATATAAATCCTTTATTAATCCGATTGAGGTACCAAGTCAAGCACCTCAAGACGTACACTTCAAACAACAAACCATAAGCCTCATTGATGATAAAGAGGCTTAAACTTTCAGGAGTTTTTTGTACGCCTTAATTTAAGACATACCTAAATTTTATGCCTTAAAGACTTTTTTAAACAACAGTCTCTACACATTGATTATCTTCCACCAATAAAAAAAATAGAAGCGCACTCCATTATGTCAACAAAAGATGTATCGATTAAGAGTTAGCTAGTGTCTTTCTACCTCAAACAATAGTGGACATGATCTACACCCTACCATGTTAATGAGGGGTGTACGACCACAAGTGACTAAGTTTTATGAATAGAAGTTACTTGCGAGATGGATATGTTAAGAATTTAGGTACAAGTTAAAATACGAAAAGCAATATATGTTCAAACTCTTAATAGTTGAATCATTGATATGATTAATAATTATACATTTCTTTAATTGTTATGTAACATCTATGATCATATGCAAAAGATAAGCACACTTAATGATTTTCATGCAATAGCATAATGATGAATAGCATCCATCTTTTTTTAGTTGCTATGATTTAAAAATATAAGATGCCCACTAAGTTATGAATATAACTCGCTCATGTTATTTCATAAATCAATAAGAAAAAAATTATAGGATATGAATAAGTAAAAAGAGTTCGTGATGTGGAGCTACAAGTAACAAGTATTTAAAATTTTTTGATATTGAAATAAATATATTAGATCTATTGTTATTTGGAATAGAATTTATTTTGTGGTGTAGTAGTCTTTTTAATGTATTAGAAGTTGTTAATGAAAGAAACTGTATCATAATTTATTTTTTAAAACCTTTATTTTAAAACTCTATCCGATTGTTTGTTCCTGCTTTAATATTGCAAAATGTCAGGTCGGCTTGTAACAAGAGAATTATCAAATCCAACGTTGAATTAAGTAGTACTAATCACAATGAAAGATCAATTACAATGATCAATGATATTTAGAAGGCATAGTTAGACATTATGTAAAATCTAATTAGGATTACAACCTATTTCTATGAATAGTTTGTGCCTTATTCTACGAAGAGGCGGATGCAAGATAAATTAATGAAATACATATAAAAAGATCAATATGTAATGGAATATAAGGCGGAGGTATGCCCGCGATCGATTCATAATGCTTTAGAAAATTGTCATAGATTATTATCAAAATAATGAGATGAGATTAGGAAATCATTAGATCCCTTAGGGAGTAATTATTCTATACTTGTATAGACAAGACATTTAAAAGAGTAGAAATTATTTTTCAAAGTGCCTAAGTATAAACATTTGCATAAAAGAAAGAGCACTGAAGAGAATGTGCATGCTACACAGTTTGAAGGATGTAACACTAGTGTGGTTAAACTAACACCCAATTCTTTAAAATTATGTCAAAGACCAAATGAGCTCCAAATGACACCACTTGATTGTCAAAATGAACTTCAAATCATGATGATACCAACAACTCCAAAAACACTAAATTCCATGCACGATAGAGTTCAAAATTGGCCAAATCAGCCTGAACTAGCATGATTGGTCTAAGTCATCCAGCTCCCAAGCATGTAGCTTGGAGGGGATGGTTGTGTCCACGTTTAGTGGCGAGAGGGTCTAAAGACCATGTCGAGCATTTATATGTCATGATCATCCATAGATGATGTTCAATTATGATAAGTTATGCTAAATACTACGCAATTTGATGGATAAGTACTTTATATTTTTTAAATATTATGTTTATGGTGAATATTTTCTCAAGAAGAATATTAAAAAAAAAAAGTAGCCTATGGTCGATTCTGAGCAACACCAAATTTGATCAATAAACCTTCTTAGAATTATTCTCTTATGTCCGACAATCAAAATTTCAACGGTCAACTTTGTTTGATATTATCATTAAAGTTTTACAGGATGGAGCAAACTCAAAAGCGGCTACGTGGGGCTACATGACCCAGCACAGATGCAGACAATAATTAGAGCAACACGATTACATGAGACACATGATAAGCTGCATACGGATGACTGCAGCTAAGGCAAAAAAAGGACCATATTTATTTCATAAATAAGTATTTCTACCTGGACTTCAAGCTTGCACTTTTTCCGATCATTTAAGTGTTCTACCATGCAACCAAATTTTCTTTTCATGTTTATATAAAACCTAAATGCACTTCATAAACAATGAGACTGCAAGATTTTTAATTAACATTAATATCAATATCCTATTTCACCATAATTTAGTTGTAAGTGTCTAAAATCTAAAGTGCCCCAATTTTTTCCTTATTTTAATATAAAACTTCGCAAGTGAATGGCCGGGACATTTTGCTAGTTATAACACAAATATAAAAGTATTTTCATAAACAAGTAGCCATATAAAAATCAACTCATATCAGGATCTTGCTCAGGTCACATAAGGCTGGGACATTCATAAGTCATAATTTGAAGAAGGTTCATCAAATAATTTGCCCAAAGAGACTATAAAACATCCATGGTGATGTTTCTTGAAGTTAAAAATTAACCGCCTACAATGAAACAAAACAGCAAAAGGGCATTTACATACATAGGACACGATTCTTAGGTATTTACATAGTTCACACCTAAAATTTCATATTAACACACATAGTATTCAAATCTTTAATATCACATAAAAAATAGCACTATTATCAATTTTTTAAATTAAGTATACCTATTCATGCATAGGTTTAGGCACCAGAGTGTTACATAT